AACTTCTGGACCAAATCCTGACTGATAGCAGTACATTCTTGCACAATCAAAGCTTGCATTTTGTCAGAATTCCTAGGTTTTCGTTTGTCCACCCGTCTCTTGATGATTGACCACAAGTTTTCAATGGGATTAAGATCAGGGGGGTTTCCAGGCCATAGACCCAAAATCTCTATGTTTTGTTCCCTGAGCCAGTTAGATATCACCTTTGCTTTATAGTACGGTGCTCCATCCTGCTGGAAAAGGCATTGTTCATCACCAAACTGCTCTTGGACGGTTGGGAGAAGTTGCTCTCTGAGGACATTCTGGTACCATTCTTTATTCATGGCTGTGTTTTTAGGTAAGACTGTGAGAGAGCCGACTCCCTTGGCTGAGAAGCAACCCCACACATGAATGGTTTCAGGATGCTTTACAGTTGAGATGAGACAAGAATGGTGGTAGCGCTCATCTTGTCTTCTCCGAACAAGCTGTTTTCCAGATGTCCCAAACAATCAGAAAGGGGATTCATCAGAGAAAATGATTTTCCCCTGGTCCTCAGCAGTCCACTCCCTGTACCTTTAGCAGAATATCAGTCTGTCCCTGATGTTTTTCCTGGAGAGAAGTGGCTTCTTTGCTGCCCTCCTTGAGACCAGGACTTGCTCCAAGAGTCTCCACCTCACAGTGCGTGCAGATGCACTAACACCTGCCTGCTGCCATTCCTGAGCAAGCTCTGCACTGCTGGTAGCCCGACCCCGCAGCTGAAACACTTTTAAGAGACGGTCCTGGTGCTTGCTGGTCTTTCCTGGGTGCCCTGGAGCCTTTTTGGCAACAATAGAACCTCTCTCCTTGAAGTTCTTGATGATGCGATAGATTGTTGACTGAGGTGCAATCTTTCTTGCAGCAATTCTCTTTCCTGTTAGGCCATTTTTGTGCAGTGCAGTGATGACTGCATGTGTTTCTTTAAAGATAACCATAATTCACAGAAGAGATACAATGATGCCAAGCACCAGCCTATTTTTAAAGTGTCCAGTGGTGTCATTCTTACTTCATCATGACAGATTGAGCTCCAGCCCTGTCCTCATCACCACCCACACTTGTGTTAATGCAGCAATCACTGAAACCATGTTAGCTGGTCCTTTTTAATGCAGGGATACAATGATGTTGAAATGTGTTTTTGGGGATAAAGTTCATTTTCTAGGCAAATATTGACCTTGGATTTAATTGCTGTTACGCTGATCACTCTTTATAACATTCTGGAGTATATGCAAATTGCTGTTATAAAAACTGAAGTAGTAGACTTTGTAAATATTAATATTTGAATCATTCTAAAAACTTTTGGCCATGACTGTACTGAGGAGGAACTCTGGGTTTGATACAGATGGTATGTTTGTTCTGGTTTAAAGGGTTCTGTTTTCTGTCTTTGATAAAACTCTGGTTCTGTTTAAACTATTGCAGAACCTCAGGTCTTGGTTCCTTTGGAACCATAAGTGGATAAGGGTAAGTCCAACAGTAATTATTCAGAAGAAAAGCTAAATGACTGAAAGATAAAGAGAATTTATGGAGAAAAGGAAGAGCCTGTTCAGGAAGTTGCTCCACTGGAGGCTGAGCAGGAACCATGAAGCTGGTTGATGGAAGAAATTCACCATCCTCAGTTTTAAAATGAAAAAAATCCACCAAACCATAAGAGATTTGTTCTCCGGTGTCTGGGGCAACAGCAGCTGCTTCATGACGTTCCTGTTGAGGGTTTTTTGGACTAGAAGACAAGCTGTAAAGGGAACGCTGAAAATACACTTCCCCTAAACATGAAACTAAAAGGCGTCGTTCTGATGGGTTTCCCCCGTCAGCGGCGAGCATTTCCTGCAGCAAAACATCAGAAACAAGCAGCGCAGCCTCAGGCTTCCTGGACGGCTCGCTGCAGCTGCTAACGAGGTGTGTTGATACAACAACGAGCGGAAAAGGTCAGCATGATGGCCGCCTGGGTTAATCATGATTCAGGTCTTAGGTGAGGAATCCCCCCCCCCAGCTGATCGATCAACTTAAGATGTGTGTCAACATCTGAGACTCAGCCGGAGGCCAGAAAGGGTTAATTCAAGCCTCCATGAGCCAATCAGCAGGGAGAGAAGTTCAAACAGACAGGTGTGGGTCAGGGACGACACAGGAAGGATGGAGCCGCATTGGTCCGTCACTGTCAGACACACCTGGAAACACCTGGAAGAGCAGCCATGTTGTTTCATTCCATGGTAAACCAGGAAAGGAACGTTCTGCCTGAAGGAAAAGGTTCTGGTACAGCAGGTCAGGCAGTCCAATTTCAGACTGACCAGGACCTGCAGTGATTGATTATTTATAGATAAATAGCAAAGGTTTTGCTCATTTTAACAGGAAGTCCAACTGTGTTGAATCTATAAAATAAAAGTTTATCGACACCTAAAAACCAACCAAAACTGGACAGGCGATAAAATCTCCTTTATTTACTCATTTCTATTTGTCAGTTTCAGCTTAAAGTCATTCAGTTAGATCCATCGATTCACTTTAATTTGATGCTTATTTCTAAACCGACCAGGAAACACAGAGTCAGCATTTAAATTAAAACACTGATTTCAGCATATTAGAAATGTAAGCTTTTATGGACCTTCAAAATAAAACCGTTGCTGCCTCCATAACCATGGTTCCTCTAAGGGTCCCATCAGGTTCCTGTAAGGGTTCCATCAGGTTCCTCTAAGGGTCCCATCAGGTTCCTCTAAAGGTTCCATCACTCCTCTTATGTAGAGCTGGGCGATATGGCGATATATATCGTGAGGACGAGAGAAACATGTCTATCGTGACCTTTCTCCTCTATTTTTTCTATCGTGATAAACTTTTTTATTATTATTATTACTGCTAATATACATTTTAATATAATTTGTTAATATAACATTTTGCGTTTTTGCTATGCAAACTCTAAGTGTATATAACGAAAAAAAAAGAGAATAAAAAGATAATGTGAAGAGAACGTGGTTTTGCGACACTACACCGCTTTACGTCACGCGGCTTTGCACCATACGTTTGCGACATTACTGACGGAGAGAGCCCGCGAAATTTCTTTCTGGCTTGAAAAAAAATGAATGATGGACACCCAAGAAGATGTTACCACAGCAGCGGTTACAGAGTCCGAAACAGTTGCCAGGTCACAGAAACAACAAACACCACTTTTGCCCAAAAGGGGAGGCAGCTCGGTTGTTTGGTTATATTTCGGATTTCAGCCATCTGATAAAGAACAAACGCAGCCGATATGTAAACTGTGCAGCAAAGCCGTTCCAGCGGCTGATGCAAATACTTCCGGCCTCTTTTACCACCTAAAGAAAAATCATGAACAAGAACACGGGAAACTACAACCACTCCGATCAAAACAAACAAGGGATGAAAATACAGGAAGCACTGGAAAGAAATTCTCACAGCCGAAGCTTAAGGAAGCATTCGCCCAAGGATCACAATATGAGAAGACGTCTCAGCGACACAAGCAGATCACAGGTGCTATTTCACGCTATATCTGTAAAGGCATGGCCCCCGTTTACATAGTCGAGAAAGACAGCTTTCGGGACCTCGTCCGTACCATCGATCCCAGATATGTGATGCCTAGTCGAAAACATTTCAGTAAAGTGGAGCTGCCTGGCTTATATGCTAGTTGTCGGGCTGAAGTGGAGAGAGAGGTACGCAGTGGTGCGACGCATTATGCGTTGACTACGGACATGTGGATGAGTAGAGCAACACAGCCTTATGAGTCTCACCATCCATTTCATCAAGGACTGGACCCTCCTAGTGGAAAACAAGGTAAGTGAAAGACAAGAGAAAAACCTGGCCTTGGAATTTTATAAAATGTCAATAACAAACGAATATTAAATGATTAATTACTGCAGCGCAATAGCCAAGATTCTATACTGTTCACTGTCATGGCCGCAAATTGCATAACTGGTGTTCTTGGTTTGGGGTTGGGATTCTCATATTAGGAAACAAGATGATGGGTAAAAAATAGGCGATGAAAGATTTTTTTCAACCCTGTCCATCTGACGGACTATGAAAACATAAAATGCAACATCAGTTGTGGTATATCGTGATATATATCGTTATCGTGATATAAAATAATCCATATCGTGATATAGTTTTTTTTCCATATCGCCCAGCCCTACTCTTATGGTTCCTTTAAGGGTTCCATCAGGTTCCTCTTAGGGTTCCTCTAAGGCAGGCATCCCCAAACTCGGTCCTGGAGGGCCGCTGTCCTGCAGGTTTTAAGGGTTTCCTTGCCTTAGCACAGCTGATTATCATGAATGCAGTAGAAGTAGCAGAAGCCTGTTAATCAGCTTTCAATTAAAATCAGCTGTGCTGGAGCAAGGAAACCTCTAAAACCTGCAGGACAGCGGCCCTCGAGGACCGAGTTTGGGGATGCCTGCTCTAAGGGTTCCATCAGGTTCCTCTTAGGATTCCATCAGGTTCCTCTAAGTGTTCCATCAGGTTCCTCTTAGGGTTCCTTTAAGGGTTCCATCAGGTTCCTCCTAGGGTTCCTCTAAGGGTTCCTCTTAGGGTCCCAACAGGTTCCTCTAAGCCTTAGAGGAACCTGTTGGGACCCTAAGAGGAACCTGATGGGACCCTAAGAGGAACCCTTAGAGGAACCTGATGGGACCCTAAGAGGAACCCTTAGAGGAACCTGTTGGGACCCTAAGAGGAACCCTTAGAGGAACCTGATGGGACCCTAAGAGGAACCCTTAGAGGAACCTGATGGGACCCTTAGAGGAACCTGAGGGGACCCTAAGAGGAACCCTTAGACTCTAAGGGTTCCTCTTAGGGTTTCTTTAAGGGTCTGAGTGTGTGCAGCCACCAGGCGGTATTTATTAGCCAGTAACTAAATGTAGATTAATATAAAGTCTTAATAAGGATAGATATTCTAACGTGTGAGTGACACCATCTCTGCTCCTCTTCCTCTTTTTTTCCCCTAAAATGCGCAAAGCAGACAAGCGGAGAGCTCAGCGTCACGCACGCGCTTCCTCACTCACCGTGGCCGAGCAGAGGCCGCTGTCCGTCAGCGTCAGGTGGTGCGGCTCCCACCTCCGCAGGTACTTGGAGGTGAGCAGCTTGCTGAGGAAGGTGCGTGGGTGTTTGACCACGCAGACCTGGATGTCGCCTTCGTGCAGCAGCTTGTAGCGCATGCCGCTGCTGCCGCAGGGGTGCAGGGCCCTCCGGCAGGAGCCCGCGGCCGGCTTGGTGTTGTTGTGGCCCTCAGACATGTCCCCCAGTAGAGGCTTGCTCTCCTCGCATTGGTAGAACTGGTTGTTGTGCAGCTCGTTGGGGGGGCCGTTGCTGCTGTTCACATCCATTTCCCAGTCCTCCCAGTATAGACTGGCCCCACAGATTGATCGGACGGTCGTTGATGATGGGGGAGGGAGGGGGAGGGGGGGAGTCCCACCAGGACGTCAGATCTCGTCCAGATGTTTCAGCCTTTTAATGACTCCCGACACAATAATCCACCATTTTCCTCTGCATGAACAGACTCCACGGTGCGCGTGCCCCCACCCCACGGACACAGAGCCGTTCTCAAAGAGTGAGGGCCATGGCCCGATCCAGTGGGTCCGCCTGGAAGCCGAGCTCGGTAAATCCTCGGTTCGGTTCGGCTTCGGTCCAGAGACTCGGAGATTCAGGAAAACATTTCTGCCTCGGTTCGTCTTTCTGTTCCTGCTGACCGTCTCCGTGTAAAGAGGAGCCAGCGCGCGCTGTCATTGGCTGCTGTAAGTCATGTGACGCAGGACTGACGTCAATTGGGAGGCGAGCGGATGAGCTGTGCGTCTTTTGTGCCCGAGTGTCTGCTGGGGGCGCGCACACGGCTCTCCCTTCTTGAGCACGCGCAGGAAAAAAAAAGAGAGTTCAAATGAACTCCTCCTCTTGAAAAGAGTTTACGGGATGTGAGATCATGTTGCTACACACACTGTACAGTAGGGGGCGGTATGCATCTTAAAGGTGCTTTACATCCGCCATAATAGAAAAGAAGAAGACCCCCCTCGCACTCTACCTGGAAATGATGCTTATTGGCATGATTCGCATCATTTCCAGCGAATCTGAAGAAAACAGGAATACTGTTAATTGGTGTTTCGAAGTTTTCCAAATAAAATATCTATTTTTTTTTATTCAAAACTCAGATCGGTTTTGATTAATAGTAAATGACTCGTTGATCGTTAAAGGCTCTTTTTATTAAACATTTTTGATATTGAGAAATATTAAACTAAACCTCCTCAGGGTTTTTGATAAGAATGTTAAAAACTGAGCCTGAATAAAAAGAAAAGTATCACCAATAGGTTATTTCTGCATAGAATCCATCAGTTTAAACTCTTAAATTCCTGTTTCAGTTTATTATCTTCTCATATTTCAGCTGTATTTCCACCAGTTTAAAGCCACAACATTTGTTTAGTGGATCCTTTGTGAAAGTTAAATATATTTTTACTATATTTTTTTTTTCCATTTACACTAATCTTTTGACAGGAATCTATTCATTTTTTATATTTCTGTATTTTATTTTATTTGTTTAGATTTATATTAAATTATTTAAAGGTAAAGTGCATACGTGCTGCATTCTGAACATTAAATGTTGCTGAAATTTACACATTGTGGCTTTACGAAAAGTAATCTTTTCATAAATGACCCAGTGTGTCTCATTTGGGATAAAACAAAGAAAAATCTGTTTTTCATCTAAAAATCTTGCCTTATCTCTGTGTCTGGATGTCAGCCATAACCCCTAACCCCTCCATCACTAAATAGAGCCAGGACAATATAGTGGACTTTATAGCGAGCTCAGTTAACTCATCCTTCAGACAGATAATCACTTTTTTTCTCTCCCTGTTGGTCACGTGAACCGGCTCCTCTTACAATGACTGCTCCATCTTTGTTCTCTCTGGCCCCCAGAACAAATCCCATGATTCTTTGCGAGGAGAGCTTTTACAAGACATTTTGCGGTATAGCTGCCCGTCTAATGACCATGGATAATTGCTACTTTTCAAAGTGCATTGTAGTTCCCTACTTTTTCATCCACTAGATGTGCAGACACTGCTAAAATGGCATACCAACTATAGAGATCTATGGAGGGGTTAAAGGAATAGTACACCCAAAACATGATTAGCCTTCATTTTCTACTCACCCCCATGCTGAACAACACCCTGGAGTACTTTTTTGATATCTCAAATGCATCTGGAGATCTGGGAGGCTTCTTGCTGTCTGCTGACATTCAAATAATGGAGGTCTATGGTGACCGAGACAGAAAGGTCCATAAAAGTCCACAAAAAACGTGTCAATATTCCTCCATACTGCTCGTCCAATGTATTCCAAGTGTCCTGAGTGGGTAGCATCCAGAATTTACTCGAAACGAAGTCATTTAGAATGTTTTTAGAGCATAAACAGTAGTGTATAGGATTTCCTGAAAGCGCGCACACGCGCGCTCACGACGCTACGGAAGCCGGCAGACCAAACCAGCGCATTCAGCTCGGCAAAGAACTCATGCTCTTCCTCAACACTGAAGTCCTCAGATATTTTTCTTTCGTCGGCTCTGTTCGAAAACCTAGGACGGGTCCTCCAAGGACGCGGTCTACCTTGACACACAAAGCAGGAAAAGAATGAATACAGAAGTTTTCAAAACTGTTTATTTCTTTTTTATTGTGAAGTGAACAAAGACTACACTCACAAGAATCCAGAGCGGAATAAATGTTCCAACAGCCGGGAGCAAGAACAAATAAAATCAAATGTAATGATAGAAACCTTAGTCAGTTAAATAACATGCTGCTGTCATTCTGCACATCTCTGATGTTGCTGCTATTTTCAAATATCCATTACTGTAAAAATGTCCATAGCTGCATATTGGTTATTAATTCTCCAGTTTTATATTGTTAAAACACTTTACAGTATTTTATTGTTTATATTTTAACTCTTCCCTATTATGTTATTCTTATACATTTTTCTAAGGTCCACATTTGTGTGACCACTTTCAATAATCTTTCTGCTGCTGTAAATTTTCCCATTGTGGGAAAATAAAGGGATTTTCTATTCTATTCTATAAAAGGGGTAGAAAGATATAAGTAAATCTAAACCATATATTTACAAAAAATATATCTGCAAAATCTCTAATATTCAACAACAAAAAATTCAAAGTTAAGCATATTGTGCAAAATAGCAATAAAAAGATAAAAATCCTATCAGATTTATAGTATATATATATATATTAGTATCTGTCCTTAAATTACAGCCAAACCCATTTACACAGTAACAGATTAAAACCTTTAGATAGACCAAACATTACCGCCACATACAGTATATGACTCAGTAACCATTAAAACAACTATTTTCATTCATTTCAGACGGAACTATTCACAGAGTTGTATTATATTAAACTGAACTTCCAATTTTCACCACTGTTCGGCGCCAAGTAACCTTTCCTCTGATCACAGCTTACTTGGTCTCGCAATGAATCCTGGGATATCCAAGAATACCGAGGATACATCTGACCCGTCCTTCAAATCGGGCAAAAAGAAGGACGCATTTTAAGGCCGCATAACGAGGACTCTTGGAATCCGACCAGACCTCGGCGCCGCGCTATGACGTAATCGGCCTTCGAATCCGGTCTTCTAAGGATGCGTCCTAGGTTTTCGAACAGAGCCGTAGTTTCTTTCTTTGCACAGGTAAACAGCACATTTCTTCTTCTACGCTTGCATTATTGGAAGAGCAGACGCTGAATGCGCACTTTCATCTGGTTTGATCTGCCGGCTTCCGTAGTGTCGTGAGCGCGCGTGTGCGCGCTTTCAGGAAATCCTATACACTACTGTTTATGCTCTAAAAACATTCTAAATGACTTCGTTTCGAGTAAATTCTGGATGCTACCCACTCAGGACACTTGGAATACATTGGACGAGCAGTATGGAGGAATATTGACACGTTTTTTGTGGACTTTTATGGACTTTTCTGCCTCGGGCACCATAGACCTCCATTATTTGAATGTCAGCAGACAGCAAGAAGCCTCCCAGATCTCCAGATGCATTTGAGATATCAAAAAAGTACTCTAGAGTGTTGTTCAGCATGGGGGTGAGTAGAAAATGAAGGCTAATCATGTTTTGGGTGTACTATTCCTTTAAGGCATACATTCAGACACATGCTTTCTCTAATAATAATAATAATAGTTGAAGTTTATTGATCTCACATCTGGAAATTTACCTCTGCATTTAACCCATCCCCTTGGGGAGCAGTGGGCTGCCATTGTGGGGCGCCCGGGGAGCAATTGGAGGTTAAGGGTCTTGCTCATAGAGCCAGAGTGGCAGTCTGTGGGAGTGGGGCTCGAACTCAGAACCTCAGGTTTCCAAGCTCTATGCCCTAACCACTAGGCCGCAACCCCCCTAAATAATAGAAAACAACTTCTAAATAAAGTTATTGTTGCGATTATGTGTGGTATTGATGTGATTTGGAACCAGGTGAGCTCTGTCACGGAGGAAGACGTCCTGACTCCTGTCCTCCAGGGTCTCTCTCGGCTCTGTCCATCAAATCCCCATCTGACCTTTGTAGCCTTGAGATGACATGTGTTGTGAATTGGCACTATATAAATAAGCTGAATTGAAATAGAATTGTTCTGACATGGATCCAGTTAAAGCGGTTTGGTCTAGGAGCATTTCTGAGTGATCCATCCATTAAAACACAATGGCCTCTGAAATGGGTACAAATGGGGCAGAAGGCTTCTTTCCAGCCTGTCCCAGAGGCCTCCAAGCTCCTCAAACGGATGATCAACCTTGTGACGACATCTCCGGCCTGCAAATGCCTTCGAGCTGACGCAGCTGTGACTCTCCTCCCTGCAGGTTGAAACAGGCCGGCTGTCTGCAGGTGCTGTCAGCTCTCAGTGAGTCAGAGCGATAAGGATCCAGAAGAATGACGAATGCCAGGCGTCACAGAGGCAGGTTACTTGGAATCCATGGAAGTGCCCATAAAACACCTGACAGAGAGATTTACTAATCTGGTGTCTGTGTAAATATTCTAGATTATATTCCTTGGAAATTCCCCTTCAGATCAGGCTCCTCATGATGTCGCACTCATCGCCATGGTCCTCATTTATATCCTGCTGCCTGTTCCTGAGGCTCTGAAATGTTTTCAGGATTTTGATTTTTTACGAAGCTAAATAATTGGAATCAATTTTATTTGTGAAGTGAATTTAAAAACCAAAGAACTAGTTTAACCAAAAGTGTTTTACAGAACTGAACAGAAAATGATCTACCACTCTTTGCTGTGATCTCAGAAAGTCTTCTTGGTCAGCAGATAAACTCCTGGAGGTTATGTCAGATTTCTACCAAATTTCTGCTCAGTCATGTCTGATTATTAGAACCACGGTGAGGGAAACCAGGATCTTCATCCAACTTTGATCAAAACCTCTCTGCTCTAGTTCCAGTTAGGCTAAAATTAACTGACAGAGATCCAAACTGAGCAATAAGAGGAGGTCCATGGTGGTGGTTCTGGTTCCAATCAGCAATCAGCTCCAATCATCTCCAGCTGCTCTGAGGATCCTATAAAAGCAGCTCCTGCAGGTTTGAGTCTCTATCAGGGGGATCTGAGGTCTATCTTTCACTAGCAGCAGAGCAGCACTATGAGGTGAGGTCCACTTTAACAGCAGCTTGAATCCTGGACTGAAGATGTGTTGCTAGAACCTTCTGGTCTGAATGCTGCTAATGATCTCAACTTCCATGTTTCTGCAGAATGTTGTGGATTTCTTTCCTG